TAGTGAGGAATGTCTCTCTTTCTGGGTGTCCAGAGCATTTCAGTAAATAAAAAGCTCTTTAAAAATAAGTCAATACAATGGAATCCCTTTTGCCTTTTGCCAGCGCTTGTATTACACTTACACCCAAATGACCCTCCTACCTATTATACTGCAGCATTTACATACACATCAAATGGGTGCTTTTCACTTACATAATACATTTAATCCAAGGATTACAGAGCACATAATATATTAAACATTACAACACCTCGTGAGGTAGGTTAGCATTAATGAAGTCGCAGTGGGTAAACTGAGGCACAGGCTAGCTTTATGACTTGCCTGTGGTCCCGCAGTCAATCAGCGGAAAAGTCATTAAGACGCTCTTCAGACAAAGAGCAGACACACATATGCACATGCTTGTGTGGATAAAATAGATTAATCCACGTTTTCAAAAGCAACTTTAGCTACCCATCCAGAGACACTCAGGTCCTGATTTTCTGAGGGCAGGAGAACAAAAGGCAAATAGGAGAAGACAAAAAGAACGGAAAGCAAATATTTGCTGTTAGAAATAACGTTTTTTTTGTATGCCAAAACGTGTACACAAAACAAGAGGCATCCAAAACTGAAGGACACTTTAGATGCTGGTCTCCAATAATTTGATTTTCTGAGTAAAGATTTTTCTAGACCTGCAACAGGGGTTTTGTTCAGGTTTTGTTCAATAATGTCGGTTTATATTTAGCTTTCGTATAGCAGATAGAGAGAAAAAAATATCTTTGGTTAAGGTCTTTGAGCCAAGCATCTAGGATAAAATTTGAAAAGCACTCAACAGTGGCTTTTGAAAACAGAATTAGGCTAGTTGCTGAGACAAGCTTTGAAAGCTACCCCCTACCTCCGTTAGCATTTTAACTGAGAGCCGATTTCCCGGGTTGTGGTACCGTTCCTCGTTTGAGTCTCCCCATCCCATGGCCTTCACCAGCATCGCTAAGTCAAGTTGGATTAAAAACCAGGAAAACAAGCAGGAGACGGGGCGATGCAGGAGCCTGTGGTCATGACCTCCCCAGCATGTCTGCCGCCCCAGAGTGGCGTAGCTGGACACAGGGATGCTCCCTGGGTGGCTCCCACTTTCCAGCCAGCCTTTGTTCTCTTTGTGGGAGCACTGGCTAATAGAGGTGTACACCCTCCGCCTGATGGTTAGGTGAGGCTGTAATTACCTCAGTAATAAAGGCCTGATTCTTCCCTGCTCTGCACCTCCTCGGCTGGTCAGGAATACTTGTCTAAAGTGGGTGCAAAATGCTACCAGATCAGAAAGATGACATTTTACATCAATGGAAATGACCAGGTGTAAGGAACAAAGGCCTACATAACAATGCTCTCAACTCTGTTGTCCTTTAATTAAGTAGTTCCTCGGGCAATGACACTAATGAGGCCTTGTTTCCTCAGGGTTGGATTCTCTGGTATCTAAATGGGATGTGAGCTTTTCCTGGGGAGAGAGGCATTTATAATTTCTCCCTCCCAGGTGGTGTCCAATTTGGGCAGATGTCACGCTGCAGCCTTTCTCTTGGTAGGGACGCCAGTGGGACCTCTCTCCTCTCCTCCTGAAACCTACAGGAATTTTTGAGAGCTCTGCTCGTCTATTAAATTTGGCTGAATTTGGTCAAAGGGCTCAAAGCTCGTGGGGGACAGGGAGACAAATGCCTCAAATGAGACAGAGCAAAGTTACAGACCTGTTTCTACTAAGAAGAGAAGGCGAAATATTATTTTTTACTCATAAGCAAGTTTTCCAGTTGTGTGGTAAACTCACAGGGTATTGTTTTGCTGCGTCGGTAGGCACGTCTGGCTGCAGCTCCTGCAAGGAGTGTCAATAAAGGGAGTATGTAGGAACAAATACAGGCGAGCGGGGCACACAGCTCAGGGGAGAGGTGACGTTACTCAGCTCGGTGCAGAAGAGAACTGGAAAGTTCATTAAATCCACAGAAGCAACGATGATGTTCGCTGGGGAAGGTGCTGACCGGCCAAGGTCATGGGTCTGAAGGGAGAAAGCAACCAACCAAAGCAGCAGCAAGAGGTTTTCTTTGGGTTTGGTCCAGGACGGCAGTCACACCGCGGCAGCCAGTGGGATGCAGGCACCATAAAGTAGGCTTGGCCTTAGTACTGACCCCTTGGGCCACAAGACAGCAGGGACAGCCCCCTTTCCTATACAGTTTTTAATGACTCAGCACTGCTTAAGGCCCTTTAAAACACATAAAACCTCCCCTTTCTAACACTGCTTTCTGGCAGGACAGACACCCAGCTTACACTTTCGCTTCACACGTTCCTGAATGTCCCATTAACGAACAGGCATCGGCCTAGTGAGAAACCTGATGTTGGCTTGGAGAGGCCACATCCTCTGTAGGATAAGCCACTACTGCAACCTAATGTCTTTTCTTGTGACAAAATCAAGCTACACTGAGGGAGCACCCAGGGTGCACCCCTGGAATTGCAGGATAAAGCTGCAGCAGTTCCCCAAAGCACCACCTTCCCCAAAGCACCACCATCCCCAGGTGGTGGAGAGGCACCAGCTGCAGGTGACACCGCTCCTCACGCTTAGCTAACCCCACAGAATAAGCAGCATTTGGAGTTTATGCAGAGTTTTTCCCCAAATTATAGCTGCCCGGGGAAAAGCAGACTATCCTTAAATCCACCCCGAGATGCCCCTCCGCCTGCAGACACCATTTTACTTCTTCTTGTGCACAAGCATTTCCCAAGCAGGCTTTCTGACATGAAGAGGTAATCACGTCTGTGTGTTTGTGGAAGACGGAAAGCTGCACAGAGCGAGGGCTGGGAGCTCTCCCTCTCTGGGTCTGTCCCTGTTGAACTCATCTGGCGTGAGATGGAGATAGAAGCAACAGATCCCAACAGGACCAAGCTGTTACGGCCATACCTTCAGGAAAAGTCCAAGGAACTACCAGCGGACCTTCCCGAGCAACAGATCAATACGGAGCTTCGCATCAGCCGAGCAGTTATTCACGCCAAAGGCAGTTGTTTGGATGAAGGGATGAAGAGTGCACAAGTTCACCGGTTCTCAGTATATAAAGCTCTTTTTTCCCCCCTCTCCTGTAGACACCTTCATTATTTATGTGTGACAAATAAAACATGGCAGTTGAGGATGCTAAAGTGTTTCTCGACAGGCACCTCTGTTTCCCGGTACGTGCAGAGCCTGGGAGTGTGCACCCACGTCAGGCTGTGGGTACGGCGAGGAGCCACCACCATCACCACCACCATCACCACCACCAGCACCACCGACTGCTGACGGCGTAGAATAAAAGCCATCACCAGGCAGTAGCTGATTGGCAAAATATTCACCTGCTACATGCCTCTTGCCCCACGTGACTCCAGAAGTGACAACAAATTATCCCAAGGAAGAGC